AAGCGCTATCAGCCGCCTCGTTAGCGCAGTAGGTAGCGCGTCAGTCTCATAATCTGAAGGTCGTGAGTTCGATCCTCACACGGGGCAAAGGCCGGCGACTCTTTTCTTCGGTCGCCCCGCGCTGGCCGGCGGGGTCTCGACCGACGGGGGCTCCCTAAAGGAAACAGGTCAGCTCACGAAGGTGACGGTATAGCAGCACAAACCGCTGCGGGGCTGCACTTAGTGACCGTTGTTTTTTTTTGTTGTTGTTGTTTTGTTTTAATTGTGGTTTATTAAGATGCATTTTCAGGGCAAGGGGCTTTGTTTTCTGCTTGTGGGATGGCAGAAATATTTGCTACATCCTGTATTGTTTTAAAAACGTACTTTGGCACAGACTTTCTGGATCTAAGCTGTCTGCACCCTTTCTCAGCGTTTGGGCACAGAGAGATGGCCTTCGTTTCTACAGCAGGCTCTTGAGTAAAATTGTGGTTTATTAAGATGCATTTTCAGGGCAAGGGGCTTTGTTTTCTGCTTGTGGGATGGCAGAAATATTTGCTACATCCTGTATTGTTTTAAAAACGTACTTTGGCACAGACTTTCTGGATCTAAGCTGTCTGCACCCTTTCTCAGCGTTTGGGCACAGAGAGATGGCCTTCGTTTCTACAGCAGGCTCTTGAGTAAAACAAGTTCACAGGCAGGCTGGAGAGACCCGAGAGCGTTTCAGCCCCAACTTCCATGTGCAATTTGAGCAGATTAATACCAGACAAGATAATATAAACTAACTACAGAAGTATGAAAGAGCACCAGCTTCCTCTTGGTGGAAACATTCTGGTTTAAACACATTTACTGCTGTAACATTTTAACAATACATATGGCCGAAGGTGCTAGCCAAAGAATTTGTTTTTTCTAAAATACAGAAATAATCACATGTAAACTCCAAGACAACTGCAGTGCCTGGAAAAAAGGCGCTTTTCTCATCTACTCGTTACACAGCCCAGCGAAGACCTTTGCCCATCGCGTTTTTCACTTTCTGAAGAGGAAAGATTCATCTTCCCAGATTCTACTAAGAGTTTCCAAAAGGATCTTTGCTGACGTTTCCGTGGTTCCCCTTAGCTCCTAGCGACTTCAGCCTCCAGCAGCGGAGGATGCCAACAAGCTGCCAAGCCATGGCAATCCACGATGCCCAGTTGCTCAGAACGAAGTGAAAAACTAGTCGCGTTCCACTGACTGGGATAACGTGCAGAGGTACTGAAAATTTCAGTGCATCAGGCTGACAAACAAACAAATCAAGTCCCAGCTCATCATACTATTTTACATGGTCAAGTCTACTTCTGCATCAGTGTTGCGGGTAACGATTCTGACTGATTCATTTTATTTTAATGTGCCTCATTCTTTTTTACTCTAATAGCACGTAACATTCTCCTTTTAGGCCAACGCGTTAGTTGTTAAGGGAGTTAAACAGCCTCTCCTGACACACAGTGCCAGGACCCTGCGGTCCCACCAACTGTGGTCGCCAGGACCTTCTCTAGCCCCACTTCCTGGCACCATGGACACGGAGGCCACCATCGCCCGAGGTCTGACTCCGTTCGCTGGCTCGAACCCACTCCCCCGTGTCTCTCCAGCTGCTGGCGCCTGGACCTTCCAGCCCTGACACGTGGGACAGAGCACGAGATTACAGATGGTTAACAAAGGATTTACCGAGAAGACAAGCTAGACTGTGGTCATCAGGGAAGAGCTCGGTCAGACAAACGGATCAGCATCTGCTTACGGGCACCCAGCCCCTTTTATACCCCCTCTTCTCTGTTCCCCTCTCTGCTCCTCCACAATCCCCTTCCCTATTTCCCTAGAAAGTTTTGCATGGTCCCACAGGCTCTCCCCCTCCCCCCCCCCTTATGTAGAAATCCTCGTGTTCACCTTGTTTCCTCCTTTTACAAAATCCAGGCTGGCCAGTTTCCTAATGGCCAATCAAGGCCCCTTTTCAGTATTTGACCATCCTGACTGTGAAGATTTTTCTTCTCTAACATCAAATTTCCTCGCTGCAACTTGCAGATTCCAGTTAAACAGCACTGGCAAATGCAATATTTTAACAGTGCTTTGTTTTTTCATGTCACTGTTTTGACCAGAACAAATTGTATACGCAAATACTATAATGACTAATAGCAAAAAGTGAGTTTATTTTAGAAAGAAAAAACAGTAATTATAATTAGTAAAAAAATAACGAGAAGGCTGCAAACACAACACACATTTTCTACCTTGTGTTTTATTTTTATATAAAAATATTTCCAAAGACCTTTATAATAATCTATGATTAGTCCTTGATCACACTATACATATTTAGTGTTTCAGTGATTGATCTGAATGTCCAGCTGAGATCCAGAGCAAACCATCTCAAGGCGTCCACTTTGTAGCTGGGAAACGAGTTGGAAAATGTCTAGCTCGAGCCCGTGAAGTAAGCTTTTGTCTGAGCTGTCTGACTTCTGCCATCAGTTCTTGCTCTTTGCATGCCAGTTCTTCTCGCCTTCTATCTAAAGAAACTTAAGCGTAAGAGACTCAGGCTTAATATTTCGACTAACAGTTTTGCATAAAATACAATGAACTCTTATTGGAAAACAGACAACTCCTGCATGGAAATGCTGTTTCATTCCTTAGTACCAATGTATCCAAGACAGCCCTAAGACCTGCAAAAGTGAAGAGCAACTCCTCCTAGGTTATTTGAAAGTGGTACCAAGGCTGTACAATATTTGTTACAAAAAGGTCAGATCTTGATTGGGGCGGGGGGGGCTATGACAGGTCAAAAGACATAGGTTTACATTGCGTGCAAAGAGTTTTGTATATAAAGTACATATGATTTTAAAATGTACATTCATTGGCCATAACGGCAAGGACAGCCCAGACTAAGTGATTCTAGACTAGTTCCTGACTATAACTCTCAGTAAAATCTATATGAAAGACAGTTCTGCTCAACTTGCCCAAATCATACACAACTAAGAAAACAGAAAAAGCATACATAGAATGATCAGGTCAGAGTGGGACTAAACTAGAGTGAGGATATTCCCATAATGGGACACACTTCAGGCACCTCCTACCTGTGCTATTCCTGGTAGCACATAATTTTTTTCCGGTGTGAAATTGAACACAGCAATAAACCTGTTCATTGCCCATTAAACACCTACACAATTAATAATGACTCAATCACCCATCCAGATGTTCCAGTAACACTTCCAAAATTAAACATGAGAGGAAGGAAGGTCCTAACTTAGAAACTTACCATGTGACGATGACTGTGACACAGATACATCGTTCAGACAGACGTTTCTAGACTTTGGTACCTGCTGGAATTCTAAACCTCTCTCTGTACGTCCAGCCTTTAAATCACGCAGTCTTTCTGTGGGAAATGGGGAGAAGCCTTCGTTGTAAATTGTGCTCAAATTTCTAGTAATTTTTCTAGCTTGAGGTGAAGCATTTCTTCTCCAGGAAGCAAAGCTGGAACAATCACTTTCTCCAGCTAACAGCAAGTTCAGTTTGCTCAGAATCAGAAGTCAACAGTTTCAGTCTATGGACCAAAGCCACAAATCATTGCATTTCATTTTAAAAAATTATAGCTCCATATTACTGTTTCTTCCTATGTAACTAATCAATCTTCTAACAGATGGTTCACTAACTTCAAGCAGAATATGGCTACTCATACTTGCGGTTTTAATAGGAGACACTCATTTTAATAAGGCAGTTGGAATTTGCTCCATATTAAAGCATTAGGCAAATTAGGGCAATGTCTGAAAAAGTTCGCCCGAAGCAATACTAACCACCTCACAGCATCTTGTGTGCGCCTTGGAGAGACAGGGGAATGGGATAAATCTTTAGAAAGCCCTACAAAGGCAGCATTCGAGAAGAATGTACTGGCCAGGCCTGGAAGCGAATACTACTTTATTCTGTGAACAAACACTCAGCAAATTCGCTTGCTGGTAGTGAGTTTGCTTTTCTTTAGATTATTTGACAGAGGATTTCTGAGGGACGAGATTCTGTGATTGGCTTAAGCTGACCTAAGACTGTGGTCCCACTAAACGTGCCATTTCCATCCTTCCCTTTGCTATTGGTCACTGTTTCTTCTGTGCTGGCACTGGATCTCAGGCAACTATGGAGCAAAGTCCAATCAGTTCCCTGATGTGACTTAAATCTAGTCCTTTCTAGTAGGAAAAAGGACTAACGTGCAGCTAGATAAACAAGCTGCTCTAACCAGTTACATAGCCTGGGAATGCCAGATCTGAGGCAAGAGGATATGCAAACATTATGTCCAGCACAGAAAGGAAGAGGAGGAACGTCCATTCCGATGGCAGTCTACAAAAGGACACTTAATGAAATCATAGGGATTTGAGAAATCCTACCTTGTCACAAAAAAGAGATATACTTGCACAAACATGACAGAATGGAGATAAAGGAGAGGAGGTAAAAAGAGAGACCTTGTACTCTGTCCTGTATTCTTTAACTGTATATAGAATAGCCAGGGGAGCATGGAACTTAATTCTGCCAACTCACTGTACGATGGGTAATAGCTAGGCTGGGCTGGAGTGAGGCTAATGTCAGTGGGACAGTACTTCAGTGTGAAAGATCTAAATGCTGGACAGAAAAATAACTCATGAGTAAATAACTCATGTATAGCCTTTAGTGAAACTGCTATTATCTGTATGGAAGATTGTTGTGCATCTATCATGGGAAGCCCAAACTAGCTATCTTCAAGTTGAAAAGAGAGTTACAAGCTGAGGTTTCTGATTCGATAAAAAAAAAAACTAGTGCAAACTACCCTACATCATCTGTTCTTCCACCCACCTAGAAAAAATTACATAACAGTATATTGGGACAAAAACTATCTTCAGTTTTAGGGATGCATGAGGGAATCACTGGCAACCAGACACAAAACACAGATTCCCAACTACACACAGCAGTCAGCTAATTTTCCGGACATGGTCATTTATATGGCTGCAGCTGATGGATATCAAACTGAGATTTCTTTCCAAGTCTGCCCTCAAATACTGGGTTCATGAAGGGACTCTGCCAAAAAGTACCTATATAAAGGAGTTAAGCCTGAGTTTATCCCTAACATTAGACACTTAGTTTGTCTTAGTTGACAAATCCAGGTCTTCACGTCAACATCTGGTGTGCGGATACACAGGAGAATTGCGTTATCTATATGCTTACCAAAATAGCCATCTTCTTTTTGCAGCTTTTCAGCCAATTGTAACGCATCATTCATTTCATCTTCTAAAAACTGTTTCCTGTGTTCATCTGCAGCAGCAGCTGCCTTCTGCTCTGCCTCCAGTTGAGCCTTTTTCCGCGTAACTTCTTCCCACTGCAAGAGATATTGAGTATAATTCAAGAGATGTGTTACATGGAAAAAGCAACAAGTACATCCATCTGAATTATTATAGATTACATTTCATCCTTAAATCAAAAGGTACGCTATGACACTGAGTGAATGTTCTCTTGTTTAAAACTTTTTCCTTCAAACAGCTAGAGAAAGGTAAAAGGCTTGAGTTAGAGAAAAAAAATAAGAGGAGCCTGCAGAATTAAGAATAAGTTTTCCTAAACCTTACATATCCTCATTGATGTCCTCTAGGGCTTTTAGAAACCTCCAACAGGAACAGGAAAGAAGAGTCCTTAGAACAAAATATTTCTGGTAAACACCTTTCAGCTTTATGCTATACCATGTGATTGGCAAACAGCAGTACACTTTTGACAGTCCCACTAAGAAAAGAAATAACGCAAATACCTTTTTTTCTTCTGCCTCCCTCAGAGCCCTCAGCAGTTCAGCTTCTTTTACTCTGTTGTCATGAAGGAGCTTGGCTATCTCTTTATAATGCTCCTCACGGTCCTGATCGTCACACCTTAGTTTGTTCAATGCTTGCATCCTCCAGTCGGTGTCAACGCATTTCTGCTCTGCTTTGGCTAAGTTTTCTTCAGCTACCTAACAAAATACGTTTCTTATCAGGAATGCATTTACTTTATTTCAAGCACGCAGCCTTACATGTAAATAAGTGAAGATCCTTTCCTGTCAAACTGAGGTGTTCCCGGGTGTCACTGTTAGGTGTCCCTACCAGGGGACGCAATTGCAGAGCCACTTCTCCATTTGTTACAGTAGGTTGTCTTCTCTAGTTTCTTCTGCTTCTTTTTCATCCTTGTTATTCTTTCATTTACTGAGGGCTTTTTTTTTTTTTCCTCTTGAAATGAAGCATGGACCCCCTCCATGATTTTCAGGATTTTGCTTTCCTAGCATGGACTTCATCTGATTTTCAGGTGCAATTAACATCAGATGGATACCTGCCTGCCAATACTTCCACCCACATCCATCTGCTTCCAAAATTTGGAGGCTGTTTACAAAAATTCAGACCCATATGCTTATTTCTAGACAAAATATAAATGCAGATGCCAAGCATATGGGCAGTGGGTTAGCTAAAACTATTTTTCCAACTGTGCAGTACCCAGTCCTGAGCTTGAAAATCTGAACAATTCCTAATGTCAAGCTATACACGTTCATTATAGTGATCTAGAAGATAGCTTCAATAATTGAATTTCATGCCAAGTACTGCCAACTGGAAGTTCTTTTGACGGCTTACTTTTGTTTTGTTATGGTTACAAATAAAACATGTTCCTTAACAGAAGATAACTTAATCTGAAGAGCAGAAGAGCACTCTTGAATCTCATTTGCCATCATAACTGCTGGAAAGTAAAGAAAAGTTAATATTCAAGGCAGGCCTACAGAAATTCGGTATTACATAGCTGTTTGAATACGCCATTCAAATTTTTGAAAACCTCAAATACGAGATTTGAACACAACTTTAAACACACCATCATCATCTATTAACACAGGTATCTGGAAAACAGATTTAGAAAATATTTCTCATACCTCTACTAAGTTAGTATATATTACTAGTTAACACACTAACTTCCACAAATACATGTTAAGATCCAATGTTTTTACCATCCGAGCTTTCTGTTTTTCTTCTCGATCTACTTCCATCCATTTCTGAACAAGATGATCTTCCAGATCAGCCTTTCTTCGACTGGTATCTATCTCTCCTTTCATTTCCTGCATTACTGTCTCTTGATCTTTGATAAGATGCTACCAAACATACAAGCATAAATTATAGTTACTAAGCTACTAACTCATATTTGTAATTCCGGTTCTTTAATAAAACTTCATAATATTTGAATATATACACATATTTCATCTCACTGTCTATCCTAACCTATTACAGATGTCCAAGAAAGTGACACTCCCTGCTGTTTTATCCACTTGGAATTACACTAGGCCTGAGTCAGCACAGTGGTCTCCCAGGTTTATACTGATGTAATTCCACCCAAGGGATCACAACGGAGCATAACAGCAGAACTCCATCACAAGCGGATCAGATTCATTCCAAAAATATTTTGTACTTTGATAGGATATTTTAGCCAAAACTTCACAATGCTACAGAAGTCTAAATCATGTTTCACGGTATGGGGATTTGTCATAAACACATATCTGTAGCTTGAATGAGGAGCTGATTTGCCAAAGCAGTATGGATCAGCAGTAGGTCAAGAACTAGAATTGTAACTCTCACCAACCACCTTTTCTTTACATCGATCTGGGAATAGCTAAACCTTTTTTTTTTGCAGAGAGACATGACCCCTCCCCAGTCGTGCTGGAATCCATCAAGCGGTGTCAGCAGGGTACTGAAGCAGAGTTAACGTACACTGCCTCTCAATAAGCCTTCTGAGTTTGAATATAGCCCCTCACTAACCGCAGTAAAACAGCTTCCAGTCGGTCGGGGCATAGGCGGAGAAACCCTGTCTACAGAGTCTCTTGTGGGCAGACATATATCCTCAGTTAGTTAAACAATTGCTACCTTTCTAGCCTAAAGAGGATGATCATCACAGGATTAATTGTCTTAAACAGTTGACTTTACATATACTATTGAGTATAAATGAGCTTAGCATGGTTTGCGCTATGTAGCCACAATACAGCTGGCTGTGTCTTTAATAAACAAGCACTTAAAGAAATTTAGCCCAGATTGTAAAAAGCCATATGGTCAAAAGCTTTAAAAAGTCAACTATAAGAAGAAACATACTTTAAAGGAAGGGGTAAGGTATTTTGGAAGACCAGTTCTGCATGCATTCCAGTCGGATCTACACGTATGCAAGATGGGCATAGACAGCTGTGATTTCTAAACACTTAATCTACCATTTCTAATTAAAATAAATGTTATTAAAGGCTTCCATTGGCAGCCTTGCTTTTCAACCATTTATGATAATTAACTCATATTTAACTTTACATTTAAACATTATTTATTGATTTTAAAATGTTTATTACTGAATAGTGATCTCTCTGAATCATTAAAATCAGCATTATACACCAAATGGAATCTTCTTTAGGGAGATGACTAACAAAGACATTTGAGAAAAGAACTACAGCTTCCCCACAACACATCCATTCCTTTTTGCTTAACTATGTTGTTGGCAGCTAGATGTTCTTTGATCAGCTACCTCATTCTGTTATACTGATTTCTCCAGAAAATGCAGATATATCTGGATACCACAGAGGAAAAGGTGAGAGTTTATGGAATGAAGAACATATTATTACAGACTTATTTCTCCTTTAAGTTCTCCTCACTTCTCTTAACCAGATGAGCACATAGATACACACTGAAGCAACCAAATGATTCCTCTGCACAGAAGAACAAAATGGGGAGGATATGATTATTTTCTCCCAGAAGAATGGATGTCAGTAAGTTCTCCTAATGCTGTTATTAACAGAGGGTTTACTCTAAAAAGGGTATCAGATAGGACACGAAAAAAAAAAAAAACCCACCTCTTTCCCCACATACGCTGGTTGAACAAACGTGACCAAATCTGAGAAGTGCACAGGAATAACCATTACATATAAATGTCTGTATAGTTTGCTGTACTTACCTGTTCAAAAAGTTGTCTTTGTGATTCAAGTTCCATCTGCCGTATTTCAACATCTTGAGCGGTAGCAGCTGTTTCTTGCTCTCTTATGGATGCCTTGAGGAGAAAAATAACCCATGAAAACATAGTAAAGGAAAAATTCTTGCCCCTCAAAACAAAACAACAAAATGTCCAAATCTCAAGCCTAGATGACTTTCTGTCATACTATGAATAGTGGAAAATAAGGGATACCAAAAGTACAGGGCAAGGTGGAAAAGAGACACAGGAATAGTTTTGCTTTGGGCAAGCCAAGTTAGGAAACCGTCAAGCTTGATCTAGTGCTAATAATCTGCAGGGCACAGCTCCTGATCTAATAAAGTCACTCCAAACCTGGAATGCCTGGGAAGACAGTACCGAGATATGGAAGCGGCCAGTTTGCATCTGGCAGGACCTGTGCTGGGCTGCAGCTAACGAATCTTACAATCTCCTGACCGCCTTCCTACAGAAAAACCCACTCGGCCACACTGTGCTCTGCAAAGTACGGTGCTGAGACGCTGGAAATGGCCTGCAAAAAGTCAGTTTGTGCCCAAAAGCTCAGGCTCCGTTCTGTGTGTCCACATGCCACAGTGCCTGAGTTAGTAACCCTGCAGGAGCAGAGCCAGGTCTCATCAGAGGCAGCTCTGGTGCCTCTCAATCAACAGAGAGTTAATTTGCCCTCTGGGTATACTGCCCACAGACAACTGAGAATTGACTAGTCCTCTAAGGGGCTCATTACTCAGCAATGCCAATATACAGATGAATTTGGCTTTTCTCAGGAATTTTGCCAGTTAAAACAAGCCAGCGTAACATAGCAAGTGCCAAAGATGACTGCTAACCATGCATTTACTACATAAGGTAGTCCACCTCAAGCTAAATACATCTCTGCACTCACAAATTACAGTATATCAACTGCAATTTTAGTTGTGCATTTTTTCATATTTGCTTTTCCTGATAAACCTTCAAGAAAAGAATTGTTTGAGCAATACTAAACCTTTCTTGCAATTTCCTCATCAAGACGTTTGATTTCCATCTGACGCTGATCTTGCTGATATTTCAGGAAACGTTGTCTTGCAGCTTCTAGCAACTGCAGTTCCTTTGCTTTCAGTTCTCTTTTCATAGCAGCTAGTCTTCAAAGCCAAAGTGAACATAAACAAGGGAATGTGCATGCATAAATAGTCAATACCAAAGCGTACAAGTGTGCACTGGAGTCATTCAGTAGTTACTATGAGCTAATCTCTAACTTACAATGCTTAGGGCAGATGTTTTCATTCTGCAGACCACCCATTTTTCATTTCCAACACAAAATTAAGTTCACAGACACACAGAGGTCCTTTAATGGCAGTCTCTCTGAATTAACCTTTGAAAACCTGTGTTCTGCTACTACTGCACTTTAATAAGCAATAGTTTAGTACTGCAATGATCTGGAATACTATTCCTTAGAATAGTGTCAGTGTCCTAGTACCTCCTTCTGCACAAAATTATTACTTAAGTTTATTCGTAAAATAGCAAACTTCTTCAAGGAACAGAATCACAACCTTGTGAACTAGTTTGCAGTGAAAGTCCTCTTTAAGCCCACTGCCATCTTTAAAAAAAAATTAGTCTGTAAGAAACAGGAGTACAAGAAAAATACTACTTTTAGTTGATCTACAAAACTTTGGAGATGTTGAAACTCTCTTAAAAGATCATAACTGCAGAATGTGGGACTACCACATTAGTTTCAGTACTATGACAACTCTCTACTCAGCAACTAACAAAGTTACACCAATCTTTTTTCTACATCCATCTGAAGTGCAAGAATATGTACAGCTCACTGATATTAAAAATGACTTATGTTTGCAGCGCGAGTCTGTCCACAGTGAGAGTCTTGAGTGCCAGTGTGCAAAAACGCAGCAGCTGGTGGCCCAAGAGCAGTCACAATCTGAAGAGAGCAGAGAAAGGCTGGGAGCTGAGACAAAAATATGAAGTGACTTGGCCTCTGATCTGCTATATTTCCTTTGGCAAGGCAGTAATACAAACCAGATCACTTCATTCCCACACCAGAATCCGATCCACCAGACCACACTGTTTTCCCATATTATAATTTACACAAATTAGTGGTGATTTCTCCTTCACTCACGGTTAAAAATATAATAGTAGGGTACTGTAGCTGGGCCCCTAATTCCTCTTATATTATAATACCTCTGCCTCTGTTCTGCCAGCTTCTCTTCTTCTTCCAGCAGCATTTTTCTCCTCTGTTCTTCAGCTTCTTGAAGCAGTTCCTGCTTCCGATACCAAGCTTCATCTTCTGTTTTCCATTCCTGTGCTTTAGCTTCCAATTCATGCGCTAACTGTCTAAACGGAAGATCACAAGCTAACATATACAGCCAGGTATCAAGAAATTACTTGATTACTGAGAAATGGATGAATATAAGAGCAAAGAACTGCTGAAATGTGATGTCATGAAAGAGCATGAGATCCCCTCTATGTACTGATAAAAGCATAAAGAAGAGCTACAGCACCAATTGCTACAAGCAGGGTACTGCAGCTGAGTGCAGAAATGAAGTTTCTTTCTCACGTTCTTAAGGAAAACTGATGTCTAAAGGTGCCAGATAATGGTAAGCTGGTAACTCCCAGCCTTTTTACAAAGCTAGACATTACAAGGTTAATACAGATGTAGGTTCTCACTTCTAAGCTTTCAAATGTGAAGACTTTAGGCCAAACATTTTCTGAGAATTAACAAACTTTACTGGTTTAAGATAAGACTGTTAATTTAACTTAAAAACACAGCAAACCAAATAACTCTTAACTTTTGCAGCTATTTAAGTCATTGTCTCCAATTTTTCTTAATTATTCTCTCCCTTCTCAAGCATATACATTAAAATAGAAAAGAGAGAACTCTCTCTTATCTACCTGTCCCACCCATTTTGACATTGTCTTCAACTTTCCCATCAATACCTCTCTCGTAAATATGCAATTTCATCCTGTCTGATCCTCTCTCGTTCCTGAGTTTGATAATCCACAATGAACTTGGGATATTTATTAAATACAGGGTACTGCCCTTTTGTAAGTGGTATGAAGTCATCAAGCATACGTTGTGGATGAATATCTACTGGTGTAGATTCCATAAGACGATAAGCTTCTTTAATCACGACATTAATGTCCAGGTTGTTCCGATGATGAAAGAAATACTGTAAGAGACATGCTTCTATTTACAGTCTACAAAACATTAAGCAAACTTGTAATATGCGTTGTAGGAACAGTTAGGTAAATTAGTAAGCACTGCATTCCAAAAGTTGATTAAAAAAGGGATTATCAAGTTAGCCTTATCAATTAGTAAAAAAAAAAAAAATTACTGGCTCAAGTGACTTGATCCAAATCCCTTCAAGTTCTAAAAGCATCCTCTGATTCTTTTTCTTCTCTCTGAATTACATTTACACAAAGGATAGGGGAAGCTAGGAGGTGACTTCAGAGTGGTCCAATTGCCTACACAGACAGTTCTACCACTGGATAAATCTCAATGACTTTTGATGTTTAAAAGAAAATCTGTCTATTGATTATTGAAGGAATATGGCAATAATGTTGTCTGTATGATGTCTTTCAAACTAATCGCTCAAAAGTATGTTTTCAAGGTGGAGCCCTTTGTTTGCCTATAAAGATATCATCATATGAAAAATGTTCTTCCTCTCACAGAAGGCTAAACGTAAGAAAACATGTTCACGTTGCTTCAGAGAAAGTCAAATAATATTGCTTAACTCTGCAAATCTGAAGGCAAAATAATTAAATAAAACCATGACAGAACTATAGACTTTTGTCTCCACATAAAGCCAGTATTAGATCCCCAAATAAGAGGCAGAATCATTTTGCGGTTGATGAACTTTCCACGTTTAAAAAATGATTTTTAGTGGTATTAGAAACCTTGTGAAAGCTTAAAGATTTTCATATTACATGAAACTGCAGGAAATTGCTCAATATTTTTTTCATTTACAGTACGTTTGTCAGGTACTAGATGACGGTGTTCAAATATGCAGTAATATATCAATACAGAATTGAAATATTTTTTTCATTTCTGTTAAAAACAGATACGATGTTTTACACTTTTCTGTAACTACGCTTTCAGATGACTGACTTGGATTGCAAGATGCTTACCTCAAAATCCTCTGTTTGAATACAGTGAAGCAATGGAGCTCTGGAACATACAGCATACGCAACAACAATCATTAGGAAGTATGAAGGATGGTTGGAGAAGACATTATCAAAGACTTTCAGCCATTCTTCTCTTGTTAGAACCTCGGAGAACAGTGTTTCTAGAAGAGGCCAGGCATAAACCTGGAAAATTATTTATTGGGGAAAATTAACAAAATAATCCATTAGTGGAATTTCATTGTTTCTTTTATTAGAATAATATGAAATGTTATGGTCTTATACCAAAAGTGCATTTATTTCTGAAAGACAAACTGGCACTAAGCTGGAAGATTTGAAGGTAAGTTAATCACTCATTATAAAGATTCTCAATGAACAGGGGAGTAATTATAAAGACATTTTTATTTCTATGGATGTGTAAATCCTCCATTTAGATTTGCAAAGCTAAAATCATCCCTAATGATAAATATATATAATTATGGCATTGCCTTATTTACTAAATTCATTCACCACAGCTATGTCCGCTTTCCAAAGAAGAAAAAAAAAAAAAGTAAAAATACATTTAAAATCCAATCAGTAATTTTTCAAACAATGTGCACTTGAAAGCAAGGGACTTCTAAGAACTACAATAGCACCTATGTGAGGATTCACGGTCATGCAGCAGGAAAAGCTGCTGGAAAGTGACGCGATATTCTTCAAACTCATATCAGTAAATCATTAACTATTACTTGACGAAAACTCCCTCAAAAAGAATTACATCAAAACAGAAGACTAGCGCACTATCATTCACTGCAATGACATTTTATATGCAAAAGTTGGCTAGAATTTTACCTGTGAAGTCACGTTGTATTTTATCAAATGCTGAAGTAGTTCTTTGTCGTGATGTGCCAAAATATTTTCCACCATACTAAGGACATTAACTGGAGGATTGGGAAAATACTCAAACCAGCGCTGACAAAAATTAACTACAAGAGAAGTAACATAATCCGTTATAATCCAGTGACAGGCTCAAAACAATGCTACGGTTTGATTATAAAGGCTGTGAATTTTTAAGTGGAAGTCTTTGGCAGAGAAACCTATTGAAGATATTCCCATCCCTCCTCTTCCCTACAATATACTCCTAACCCATATTCACAGTACACTGGTCCTCTAGCTGGAGTGGCACAAATGTTTGTGGCGGTACTCTGTAAATCAGACTGGGGGACTAATTTGGTTTAAAAATAAAACGAAAAAATTGCGTGTGCTGTTGGACTAAGTAGCTGGAAGCAGATGGGGATACTTAAAGCAGTTCTCCTGTCTCATGAAACCACTGCCTGTATCAAGTAATTTTTAACATACTAAAAATAATTTCTGTAAACCTGGATACTTAAGACAGTAACAGCATGCTTGCAAAGTGACTGTGTACGCTTGGCAGCACATACCTTCTGTAGACTTACAAGCAGCTGCAACAACTAATTTAAGTGCCGAGCACTTTAATTTAGTATGTTTCTTCAGAAGACAGCCATCACCATCTTTCAGTCAAATGACTAATCTGGACTTACCACATGTTTAGGACAACTAAACACAGTAAAACTTCAAAAGAGAGCATTCCCTTCTGATTTGTGGGTTTTGCTTTTTTTTTTTTTTTGACTACTCTTTTCTCATGTCTCAGATACAGATTTTGGTTGTTCAATATGATACCACAATTATGCTAGATACATTTTTTTTTAAACTGAATAGACTTTAAAAACTACTCTTACCCTGTTAAGTTTTTCCTAGAAACAGTGCAAAGGAAGTCTAGTATCTTGTTCTGATTTACAAACAGGTTGTGGTTTTAAAAACACACAGCTACTACATAATAATTCCTGGTGAACACCTTTAGAAGAGAACCTCTGGTCACCTCTCAGGAAAATACCTCATTCAGTTTATCAAGAAGCGCTCATTTGAATGAAAAGGCTTAAATACGTTGCAGCATATTGGATTTTTAAAAATTTTTGCTTACCTACTACAGTAGCAACAACCTCAAAGCAGATCAGCTGGTTGTTCTGAAATAATTTTACAAATGGGAACGCTAGCAAAGGGATATAAGGTGTCTCACCAAAGATAGCAGACCAGTGAGCTAGAGCTGATAAGGTCCTATACGTAAAAGCAAGAAAAGGAGGAGAAAATATTGGTCCAACAATGAACAACAATATCACACGCACATCATAACCCTATAGAGGACTACACTTTCAATACATAGATGCTGTGTACACAAGTTACAAAAAGAAAACTGCATTAAGGCACTACTATTTCATTTTAGATTTTTATTGCAGCTCGTTCCAGCTGGGGGGTACCCTTCAGATCAGTACATGAAAATATATGTTTACCTTTGTAAAACTCTCAGCAGCTTCCTGCTTTTGATGGGATACTCGTTCTGAATATGCACAAATGCACTGTGGGTGCCTTTATCTATTAGGCTACTGAATGCTAAGTGGTTTTCAGGAAGCTGTAATAAGGAGCGCCAAACAAACATCCTGCAATTAAAATGCAGACTTAGTCAAGCAACTTCTTTCATAGGCCAGGAAGCACAAGCAGTTTTGTTTTGTGCAAGCACAGACATGCACACAGACATACCTGTATTTTGCCGGATATTCCCCAAATCCTTTCAACAAGGCCTGCAGACGTTTCTTGTTTAATCCACCTGGCAATTCATTCTACAAAACAGGAAATTAACAATGAACGTATGTACGGATTTCAGCTTCCTAATCTTTTTTCTTGCGTTCTAATCAATGATAGTAGCTAAATACTGAAGCTCCTATCATTGTATTCAGAAAAACTATAAGGTATACTGCTGTTACATCATTCTGAATATTTTAACAACAACCTTCTACTCAAGTCAAAGAACAGCTGCCACTGACTTCAGCCACAAAACAGATCAGACCCCAAATGACTAAACTATATCCAATTAAATTATAGGCAAACCACAGTGAATATTAACATAAGGAATGGGTCATGCTGCGATGAACGTTACTGTTAAGGAGAACATTTATAAGATTCAGGGTAGAGAAACAGAAGACAACACAGTGATGAGAAAAGGGAAATAAATTTAACAATAATACATCTCCTAAATTATTAAAAAAAATGGAACGTCTTCTAGGTAGACATTTTAGGAGTGCTGTATGCTAGCAGAGAAGCAGAGCGGATTTAACATCCATATGTGATTCTAGTGACTTGAAAAACTTCAGACTAGGGGAAGGGCAAGAGACTGCTTCAGTGCTCTGGCTGTGTAATCCAACGCAGGAGTATGTGCTAAACAGAAGGTGACGAAGGTGCTAAAAACTCTCTTAATCCCTTCTCTGTTCAAACATCACAGTCAATCAGCGCTTCAACTTATTTCCTAAAGTAAGCGGCTAAATGCTTTTTGCAATGAAATTCAAATGCTGCAGTCTGGAGAACGGAACGTTTGCAACTTCTTCCTACCTCTTTATTTTCAAGTGACCCGTTGACTTGTGGTTTCAGCAATCTGGTTTGAATTTTGCTTCCTCTGGATTTCCAAGGCCGCTCTGACCTTCCTGAAGTTACCCTCATTGTATGCTTATTTGCTCCCAACTTCCACTTGGACCAATCTTCCACGACTTTGAACAGCGGTGGTGGAGGCTAGCATTAAATGAAAATAACTCAGTTAACATCTCGTGAGACAGCCTAAAGGACGCTTTAATTTGATGTTTACTCTATTTTATATGCAATGCTCTTGAGCTCAATAGCCATAGCAGGAACAATAGATACACATTTATAACAGAAACAAAGATAATTGGAAACAAAGATAAAACCCCCAAATAAGTAGGCAAGTGAATAAATATGTTGTAATAAACTAGAAAGACTATGAGAAAGTTTATGTAGCTTCCAAACGCCTACTCAGTCATCATGTATGTTCTTGTTTAGCAAATACTAAAAGATAATTTGGATAGCACAACTGCATCACGTATTCAGCTCATTTACTTTAGTGTGTTCTCAGTGTTACTAAAAGATCTTTCTACAGCACCTGTCAAAAGAGAATACAAAAGACCTTTACACACTTTAATTAATCTTCACTGTCAGGTAGTTATTAATCCAGTTTTGGAGACTGGGAAAGCAAGTAACAATCCCAAATCAGGTCAACCCAGAAGCAAAAGTCCAAATGAAACGCATGTCTGATTTGCAGCCTCGTACAAACTCTTCCTCTGCTCAAACACCTTTATTGTACAAAGCTGGTTACTTCAAAGGCACGGTGATTAAAGATACATGGAATTCTGGATTTAGAAACTTGACTCCCATTAATAAATTACTTTAATAAAATAAGAACTGGTGGTTAGAATGTTTGTTATTTAGGAAGATAATTGTGCCATAATGACGGATCTAATAACACAGTAAGAAGAAAACAATCACAGTAAAAAAAAAAAAAAAAAAAAAAAAAAAAAAAAAAAAAAAAAAAAAAAAAAAAAAAAAAAAAAAAAAAAAAAAAAAAAAAAAAAAAAAAAAAAAAAAAAAAAAAAAAAAAAAAAAAAGGACCATTTGTGCCAGCAGAATAAGAGAGCATCAGCTGCAAACTCTTTCCTGAAAGAAAATGGAATTGAAGCAGCACAATCCTCTCATCTCTGCCCCTGCTCCCCTACCACAACATCATCACAAAGAATAAATATGGTCCATATAAATTGCTGTAGAAAGAAATCCTTCTCCGACCTCGTGAAAACAGAAACACAATGATGTACTTTAAAAACATCATACTAACTGTCAGGGTGAAATAAATATGAAGACAACTCTAGAAATCACTTTTTATTTGTAGTTTTAAGCACAGCACTCCAATATTTTTAAGCCAATGACACTGGCAAACTATTTCTGGTATGAACCTCTTGTAGACAAGTATCATCGTTAATGGCATTTCCTCCTGTTACAAGAAATTTAAAACACTACCTTATTTACTTCTTGAGTCAAAGCTTGGACACTGTACAAATTAAGGCTACCATTTTCCATTACTGATGCAATATACCGTCCACTGGGGCTAATCGTTGCTGTACTAATTCCCTCTTCATGACTCCCGATGTCAAAAAGAAGCTTGCATGTTTCTATATTGATAAACCTCATAATATTGTCTTGACTTAACACTCCAAGAACCTACAAGTTAAAAGGATTCAACAATGAATATTGACAACACAAAACAAAGAGGAATATTGAAATCAGAAACTACATTCCATTAAGTTAAAAAAGAGAGAGAACAAATATTTAAGATAGCAACTTTCCTTTGTATGGCAAATTGCCCATGCCTTCACTGTTTCCAAAACCCCCGAAAATTACATGCGTTGAATCAAGTTGAACCAAATACTCCAGCCTTAAGCCTTACAAAAAACTGACCTGATTAGAGCCTCCATCAAAACTATCAGGGAGGAATTCCAGATGGCGGACAGCCCGTACTTTTGTAGGCATCTGGATTATTCTTAACAACTGCTTTGATTCTAAACACCACAAGTGAAGATGATTTGATTTTCCACCAGCTACAAAAATCCGACCATCTCTGGATCACAAACAAGACAAAATTTTCCATTAGAATACTATTATATTGGCTAAAATAAGAGAGATCATACATTTCCTTCTATGCTCTTAGACCACTTTTGAATCTATCATTATTCCTCTCATACTGTACTGAAAGAACACAACAGTTCCTAAATAATAAAATTTGCTTTTGTAATAGATAGCTTAAAATTTATTCTAGTAGTAATTAAAAATCAACTTAGTTTATTTCAGCTGCTATAGCACTGTAATATAAGCTGATGTCATTCATTGCCGAAAGGATTAGTCAGAGCAGAGTTCAAAAGCCTACCATAACATACCATAAAACATTACAAATAAGCAGAGAAAACCTTTTTTAAACTACAACTTTTGTAGTTTTTTGTAGCCTCTTGAATGCTTAAGATAGCAATTTACCTGGTAACTGCAAAGACCTTATAAAGCAATGCAGAACCTTCTACCGGAGTTGGCAACTGGTATTTACAGTGGAGAGTATCAAATTCCCAGGCAAAAACCGAGTTATCTTTAAAACAGCTGAGGATGGTGTTACTCAGCGGAAGAAAGAAAACCTGAAAGAACATGATGAAAAAAATGGAATAAAGTTGTCAAGAATGTCCTTTTAAATTGGACAAAATTGAATGACAGAACAAAATGCAGCAAGAAACCACAACAGCGTGGATATTAATATACCGTAACTGCATAATGCAGCTGCAATGCAAGGCTGAGATCCCAGAGAAGGCAGGTCCCCTTCCCCTGCTCCAGTCAGGCAGGCCTGCCCTCCCTTGCATTGGTTCAGAGCTTGTACCCTTCGCTAAGCCAGTTTAGCTCGCTGAAATGACAAAGAATTATCAGTCTTCTCCGAGTTACTTTTCTGACTGTTAAATTGGCTTGTGGGGGATCTGATGAGTGTTAAACAGGCATAATATAAAGGGTACGATACGCACCCAGGAGGAGGAGGAAAAGGGCTTTCTTTCAGGACTGGTGGGTTCTGAATAGCTCACTGCATCTGAAACATAGCTTCCAAATAGCATCCAAACTGCTTCCAAACAGCACCAACAGCCTGCAAATGAACTCCATGAAGCACTTATCTCTAGACTTGGGCACTTGAGGTTTACCTATAACTCTTAAATGTAGAAAAACACCGTGGACAGTTTAGCAATGTAATCTTCATCTATGAAATGCAGTTTTTGCTGCCAGGATGAAAGAAAACAATAACAAAAAGGTTATATTTTTCAATTTTCTGAATATGCTTGTTGTTTGCGTGTAATTTCTTATCATAAAAAAAAAAATTGAATTATTTAAATATTTGGATCTCATCAAATACATTCTTGCTGAATGGCAAATTACTGGCCTAGACCAGAGGTTCTACTCTGGCAGCAGCACATGCAACTTCAACAGACTGACTCTACCACTCTACTTTGAAGGTAGTTTCTGGTATCTGAGCTTTGAAGGTTTCACAGGGTGAGATTTACAGTTTGTGCTACGAAGGGCAGAGTTTTGCTCTGACTGGTATCTTCGGGGCTTGAAAAATCTGTAAATCTGGATATGTGGGATAGGATTCATCTTGCCTAATGTTGGTGACTAAAACTTAGATGTTCAGCCCAAATTAGTCACTTGACACTGAGCGAAAGTTACCTGTGGGCGGAGAGTCACCTCACCTACCACAGTCATTCATATTTAGATGGGCTGAACTGTGCAGTGGAGCTGCCTGCCCTTGTTCAGGGACTCTGAGGAAGTCTGGACAACGAACTGAGAGCAGACGCGTATCATGCAGAAGGATGAAGTTAGGCAAAAGGTTCTACCTTTTCTTAATTCCTGTTCTCAAAAAAAGGCTATGGGTCCTTCCAACAGCAAGTGAAGCCCTAGGAGCAGCTGAAAGTTGCCATTTTAATCTGTGACAAACTGGAGTACCAAACAGTTCCTCATTTTGTGCTTTATTCTAGAAAGATACCACAAGCTGGTCACAAGCTGCTGTTGAAAAGTAGTGATGTTTTGCAAATGGCCATTGCAAATGTCCTCTCTTTAGCTCTTCTTTGTCATTTGTCTTTTTTCATCTGCCATTCTTATAGGGTATAACTCTCTCTGCCTTTTCTAATCAGCTTTGCCCTTGTATTGACTGAATACAAAGTGTATGTTGGACTGCAAACAGGGCTTACATGAAGAAACCACCCAAGGCACACTGCGGGGATTGGGGGGAAACTACCAGGAAGGCTCATATAGCAAATGAGAATGCCACTTTGGCACTGAGTGTCATCAGTTACAGTCTAATAATAAACCTGTTCTTTAATTTGGCACTTATCGGCATGTCTTAAATCATGACATGGGAGTAAACACCATTATCTCTGTTCTAAAGACAGGAAAATGAGATCCAGATAAGCTAGATTATTTGCCTAAGGTCATGTCAGGACTGGTAGAGACAAAACAAAACCACAGGCTCTTGATTCCCATTTATTCACTGAACCACATTCACTACTATTTTGGTTTAAAAGTTGTTTTCATATTGAAATATCCTGATCCTACCAAATTCCAAGAGCCAACAAGAACCTCCCACACCTAGCCTATACAAAGAAACATACTGAGCATCAACAAAACATTATCCACCAAATAAACACGCTTACCTCTGGAGGGACGATGTGATAATTATTTCAGTGACCTGCACTACAGAACAGTTTTAACAAAGCAACAAACAATATATACCTAATATCCCATGGAAATTGCTAGGTGATTATTTCAAGTTGACAGAATTTCTGCCTGACCTAGAACACGGAGACACTCAAATGAATACCCTTGTTCTCTGCAACACCAGCACGGGATTTTTAGTGACCAATTTGACAAGAACTTCAGTTTGAAGTGGGGTCTACAAGACTACTGCCTGCAGTGCAGCACGTGTAAACAATGGCCAGGGACAGCTTCGGTACTTTCTGTAGTACTTATGCCAAGGTCTGACATTTGGTGGCACAAGTAGACCTAATAAAATCAGCATAATGCTAGGGGAGACCTATTTGAACCACTCCTCGACACAAACGTATCCTTTCTCATTCCCTGAGACGTTCCAGCATAAATGTCTTGCAGCAAACCAGACCAAAGTAGTCACTTGGCTGAAAAATAGTATTTTCTTTCTGCTGAGTTACTTTTCAGCTTTGTTAGCTCCCACAGTCAGTGCTGGCATAACTAGGGCACGTGGGAAGAGGAGAAGCTTTGCAATAAGCGGCTGAGGGGGGGTGAGGGGTGGTGACTGTTTAAACTACCATTACTGCCGAAAACCAACACCCTTAGGTTGGAAAGGATTTCTAGAGGTCCTCTGAGGCCCACTCCCAGCTCAAAGGGGGGCCAGTCGAGAAGCAGCACCAATTTCCAGATTAGATTGGGCATGTCAGGGTCAAATCCAGCCTAGTTTTGACTCTCTCCAAAGATGGAGGATCCTTAAATGTTCCCAGCAGACCTGTGCAACTAGTGTGCTGTGATTCCAGGGGTCTGGCTGATGTGACAGAATCACAGTTAAGGAGATATGCCGAAAGAACATAGAAAAGATTCATCTCTGTTTTTTAAAGTATTTTCAAGTACTGTGATTTTGATATGTGGTATTATTCCCATCCAGGTATGCTTGTTTACCCTTCAGCAATTGCTCTTTACTCACCTTCTGTATATCCACAGACTGACGAACATTCAGCTTTCTTTTTCTTTGAAAGGTGTCCAAGTCCCAGAGCTGTGCTGTATCAGGAGATGTAGTGATGGCGTACCTGCCCGAGCCATGGACAGAGATGGAAGACACGGAAGAATCATGTCCTCTCATCCAACTAACCAGTTCCTTGGTTTCTGTAGGTGGTGATGAAAAAAAGGAGAAGGATCTGAAAGTCATTCAAAGCAAAGTAACTACTACTCTACTCTTTACTGCCAAAACTATGCAGTGAAAGAGCCTTCTAAGTGTACCTAGTATGCATCTGTTGAACAGCACAATCCAACAAACAAGGAAAAAAGGTAGCAGTCTTCATAGAGTTATTATGCCTTACAGAAACATAACCTTCTTCTCACCTCTAAGTAACAGACTTCCTAAGTTAATCTCTACACTGAAAGCCAACTTGCATAGACTTGTTTAATGTAGCCTAAGAATCAGCCTTAACAAGTCACGAACACTGAGATTAGACAAATTTAGTATGTTTTGTAGGCAGATTATCCAACGTAAACACCAGCAGTAATCTCTAAAAGTTGAGACTGAACGTCCTAGTTAGAACTCTACACTTGTTTTGACTTGCGGGCAATATGCATGAATGATTACACAGCTATTTACAGATGCAAAGAAGGAAAGCTTAATGACAACAGGTTATGACTATAGAAAGGCAGAGTCAGAAAGCAACATCTCATTAATTCTTTTTGAGTGCAAAACATTTTTATGCAGCGTATTGCATATTAAGGAAATGGTTTCTGACTGCGTTCTCTCCCAGTTGTGACTGCATGACCACTAATCTTTCCTCAGCAACTAAACAATATCTGCGGTAACTATCTTATTTATATCGGGTAAGTTGCCTGACAGCCCATGGGGTGGTTCCAACTGACCTACTGCTAAGGCATCAAAGATGGGAAACGGCTTTTGAGCAGCTCATTAGGGCTGTTATCACATGGCAGGAGGACATGGGATTACAGGGTATAGCTTCTAAGGCAGCTGATGGAGCCCTCCAACTGAGTATTTCCTAATACACCTCTACAGATAGTTTGCCCAATACTGACTTACGTGGAAAGTATTTACAGTATTTTAGAACATTCTTCAGTATGATCTGACATCTGGAAACACCACGATACAAACAACCAGAACTCTGTGGACTGATTAACAAGATTTCTTTAAACGCATCCAAAAACTAAACTGGGTCTTACTGTGAGAAAGTTACAGAGAACAAACGCACAGAGGATTTCAGACCATATCTCCTACTTTTCCTCAGCGTAAGTTAAAAATTTTCACCAATAATATCAGACTCAAACCTCCAAACTACCCTACGATTTATTTCTACTGCTTTTCAAAAACATTTAAATCCAGATGACAGGAGACACTGCAAGTGTACTTTTTGATAAACTAAGACTAACTTATGAAGAATGAACTGCCAATGCTTTTCAACATTTAACTTCTAATCAAGTAAAAAACAAACAGGTAGCCTGTGAAATTAATTTTGTATGTCACTGTTGAACAACAATACAGATTTACTTGCATACATAAAACTGGTGACAGTTCTTCTAGTGTGTATTGTTTTCTTGTTTAAATATTTTTTCTGTAAATAAAACTGAAAGCTGGTTCAGCTGCAAACTCTAATACACTAACAACTGATTTTGTTTTGTTTTGACACACCTTGTTCTCGAAGAAGCATATATGGATCTACTTCAGAGAAGCTAACACGTATAATCCTAATCCCATGCTATACTTCACTTAAACAAAAGCCTGGTGACTCAGTGGAAACAAGAAGCTGTGATGAAGCAAAGGGTTCTCTACCCATAAAAGACAAGACCGTAATTTTTTTTTGTTGTTTCAGCATAATATGTGGCCTGTAGTATACAGTAAGACTTCCACCAAAAATCTGACAAATTAGAGGTTGAAACTAAACCCAAATATGTTTTCATAATAATCCAGATTTTTACAGAAAGGCTTTAAATTTCTCCCTACCTGTATCAAAACACTTAATGGAATAATCTGCCAAAGCCACAAGGAATTCTGTCTTCCTGCGAAGATTAAATGCCAAAGCAGTGCAAGCCTGCATTGTTCGCTGGACAAGGCTGAACCTATTTAAAAAGGGATGGTCTTACTGTGTTAGGGAACTTTGGTTCATAATGTCAAATAAAATAGTAAACTAATCAGTTTCAATATATTTCACGAAGAAAAAAGTAAAGTAATGTTAAAGAAGGGAGCAAACAAATATAAAAATCAATGCTCATATTTAAAATTCAGTAGTGTAAAATTGAGAAGACTGATTTATATATTCCTGCAAACGACAATACTAGGTCTAATTTATTGTCGTTACTATTGATTATTTATTGTCAATCATTACTGATTGATCAATACTGTTCACAGAGCAACCTATTCATGAGGTTACTTTTAACTAACCACTGAAGATCTATGACACTGATGTCTGTTCAGTTTAGTTACAACCTTCTGATTTTTCGGAGCAGCTAAACCAACGAAATGGTATGTAGGGAGCCTTTGTCAGACACTGGCTTGCACTTTCAGCTTTGAGTAAACCACTGTCTCTACTAGGCAGGAAGAATGTTACAGATATCAAGACTTTGTATTATTTTGTATTATTAAAAATAGCATTGCATGATATAAATATTCTTACCTGTTTCCATTCAAGTCAAAAACATAAATATTTCCTTGGTGGTCTCCAGCAAGCAGAGAATCTCCACAACTGTCAAAAGCCACATTCAGAAAACGTATCGTCTTTGAATGATATCCTATGGCACTATGAATTATGTTTACTATAACTCTGTGAAGAAAGGAAACAAAATGACCATGTTTTGAATTGTTTCCTTAACACGTATTTCTCCAGGATCAAGGACCAAAGTATTCTTAGATTATGGTATTACAATTCCAATCATTCCTTGTCACCTTTGAGAAGTCTTCTTCTGTGAAAGGGCATATATTTTTAATACAAAAAAATATACTGAAGTATTCACTATGTTGGAAGGTAGGAGATATGTAAAGCAGACAGGGGGAAATCCACCATTCCTGGCCATTTTATGAGGCTCCTAGTTACACAACTGTCATTCATATTCTTAATGAATAGCGCTAACTTTTATGCTGATATATTGCCTGTCAGGCTCTTCACTTTCCCTGTAAAGAAACAAGCCAGAAAAGTGCAAAGCTATGAGTTACTATAAGAAACCGCTTAGACCAGATGGGAAGCAATTCAGTTTTCACACCACTTCTTTCTAAAGTCTTTACTAGTGTGAAGCCAGCCATTTGTTATCATTTTCACCTGAGATTTATGGAACAAAACTTGCTCTCTGACAGTTTTTCACACTCTAAACTTGTTAACTCTGTTAGCAGAGGGTGGGGCCAGATGCAGAACGGCAGCTCTTATTCAGAGCAAGTCATCAGACAAAGGTTGGTCCAGAAAGCAGGACATTAAGAACACGGGAGATGTGCTATTCCTGGATTTTCTTGGATAACACAGGGCGAATTTGTTATTTTCTAAAACTAGAAAAGTTATTTTCTATAACTACCTGAATGTAAATTCGGAATCAAAGTAAACACCTAAAAACATACAGGATATTGGGATGCTGATTAAAGACTACTAGGCACTTGCAGAATACCGTGACCACAGCTACATAAGATGCTGATAACTAAGCCACTGACTGCCAAGAGAGTACAGTATGCAACCGATCATCTGCGTACAACTGTTGGTGCATGTACAAAGCGTGAACGAATATCATGTGAAGATAGGCCATATCGCTATTGTCCACACTAGAGACAAAACTAATTGAACCTCATCCTGCTAAAATTATTTTTTCTGGGGTAAAAAAGAAGGGGCCATAAAAATAAGATTAGATGGACGTTAAGCTAATTTTTTATAATTATATTAAAATCATGTGATAACAGGTAGTATCTTTAAAGTCATTCAAAAACAGAGTATGACTTCCAACTTAAAAAACATCCTGAAATGAGAGCACTTATCAGTCTAGCTACAGCATCTCCCAATACTTCCTCAACATGGTTCTCTGCCTTTCACAAGTTCCTTTGCTACTACACTAATTTAGGAGGAAAAAAAAAAAATCAGCTCATGGAATTACATCCAGAATTTATATGCCAAACACATATAGTAAAAAAAATAGCATTTATACTGTTCTTTAGCTTGGGCTGCATCATGTTTTGACCTTTTCCTTATGGATCATAAACATTTTAAATAAACTCTCCAGGGAATTTGCCCATGGTAATTTGCTTAATAAAATTAAAAACAAACAAACCAAAAAAAATAAATTGGGTTGATTTGATATTCACAAGCTCGAAACGGTTAGCATGGGTAACTGCTACTATATTAGTTGCTCAGTTTTCGGGAGAAATTATTTGTAAACACCCCAATCTACACACATCTCTGAGGCAACTCAACAAGCACGGGCTTTTATTTATCATTTTGGTAATCTAGCGATCTCCTTTATCACAGATACGGTCTGCAAAATCATACAATCAATGATGTAGTTCAAAGTCCTGCTTATGTAAAGGAAGACCTGGAAGAGATACTATAAACTAGATATCATAAGACCATATATGCTTTTGCTAGCTCTCTGATGATTAACCTGTAAGGAGGTACTTACAGAGCTGCTACACAGATAATTTATGAAGTCCACTAAAGCTATGTCTCTTGCTTGAATGTACAACATGAGAGCTGGACCAGACGCACAAATACCCTAGATGTGTAACAAAACTGTGGAATAACTGAGGTTGGAAAGGACTCCTGGATGTCATCTGGTCCAAGCCCCGCTCAGAGCGGGGCCACCTTCCAAGATGGACCCGGTGGGCCAGGGCCTCCTCGTCCAGGCAAGTTTTGCACATCTCCGAGGATGAAGATTTCAGCACCTTCCCGGGAACCAGCTCCAACGTCTTACCACCCCCACAGTGAAAACAATTTCCTGCTACCTAACCGCAAACCCCCCGGTTGTGTCCGTCGAGGCTCGCTGCACCGCCGCGAAAGCCCTGGCGCTGCCCCCTCCCGCGGGTACGAC